AAAAAAGAAAAATGGAACAACAACATCATACGTATAGAAAATATTTAAGATTGAATGTACTTTTTCAGAAAGATCGACATGTTATGTTTTACATGTAGAATATTTTTGTTAGATTGATCAAAACATTCGTCGCGTCTTGTTATTTTCGTAAAGAGAAATACGAAATTTAACGCAAAGTTATATAATGCGCTTTCAGATGAAAGAGTTTTATTTTTACCAAAGATATAATGTAACAATACATATATATGTATGTGTGTGTATATATATACTACACATGTGTACACACATTCGTTGTAAAGTGTATAACAAGAAACTACGTTCCGAGCATCGAGTCGAGCTACCATCGTCCGACTAATATCGGATATTACTACTTGTTATGAAATAATCGCCCAAGGATACATGTCCTTAGATTTATTACCGCGTATTAATTTATTTATTTAAAATAACGTGTTGTAAAAGTAATAAAAAGATAATAAAAGATAATAAAAAGAAAAGTTTTATTTCAAACTTGGCATTCTGCTGCATTTTCTTTATTAGAAATAACAATGACCGATAAAGTAATAAAAAGATCGTAATAAATTGTTTTGTGCGGTTGTTAAATTTTGTGAAGCAAAACCGCAACGCAATTTTCCGTTCGGTCGAAAGTACATTTCTTTTTTGTCGCAATGTGTTACCGTTGCGTCATTTGCGATAATAACACAGCGCGTAATCGCGCTTTTCTTCGCGCTTTTCTCTCTCTCTCTCTTTCGCGCGCGCGGCATATAAGATTACAAAAAGTAATCCGGAGACTTTCCAGACTCGCATCCAAAGAATATTATTGGCGATCTGTCGATCGGAGAGGTGAGCTTATATTGATTGCATTTTACTCGAGTCCGACATAGAGGAAATTGAATATTTTTCCGACACACTCGCGCGCTTCGTCCTCCGCCGAGATTACGCTCTTACACAGATGTATTTGCGGTGCGTGTGCGTTTGATCGGTTTATTCGCCAATAAACAGTAAACCTTAAAAAGCGACAATAATAAAAAGACGCGAACTTTGATCGAGCGCGAAAATAGAAGCGCGTAATTGTAGAATAAATTCTTTGTATCTCTCGGAATAATCGAGCTCATATTTTTGGTTGATTTTGTGATAAACGCCCACCACAAAATCTCTCTTTCACAGCTTGAGCTTTTGTGACTCAAACCGCTTGCTGCTCGTAAGCTCGAAGACGCGCGAGAGGGCCTCAATCTCAAAAGCGACAATTTATGACATTATGTGTATATATATATATATGTATACCATCTGAATGGTCCGCGTTTAGCAAAAACCTGAATGGCAACGAAAGGACTGTGAATATCTTGAAAGTTACAAATTGGCTTGCAAATTCCGAGCACCATTGTTATACGCGGTCTAATAATTGAATTTGCGAACACAAAATTATATGTGTTGTATAACGAAATACGTATTTTTAATAGAATCTTACCGGTTACCACTCGCAGATGTTTGCCACCGAGAGTGGAGGCGTCCGTCGTCAGCAGAGACAACGGCGTCGACGAACTGTCCAAAACATCGATGCGTGACAGATCGACGCCGCGACGATCGCAGACCGGGGTCAGCAGATCTCTGTAATAAACGATATAGCGAGAATATATAAATAAAAGAAACCACGTATCCTCGTAATTTTCAATCTCCAACAGTGAGAATTAGAATTAAGTAGAGATTAGAAAACAAAACAATTGAACTCGAATGCAATTGTGTAAGCGCGGATAAATTGGATCAAAAGAAGGATGGTAGAGAAAATGAGCATTTTTGGTTCCGCGTGGAAATGAAAAATTCATGCAGTACAAAAAATGTCATTATCACTTTGCCGAAAAACGAATGGGAAAGCTGTCAAAAATGAATGCAAACACGTGGATACGATAGCGATCGAACATATTTTTATTTCTTTGAGTGATACTCTTAACGGTCCTGCATGAATTTCTCATTTCCAGGCGAGGCCAAAAATGGCCATTTTCTATCGTCCTTCCTTTTTTTCCCACGCGTGTTGCTGAATCACGTGACCTTTCTCGCTTGTGATTCGTGCGCGATGCGATCACGCGACAGGCGCGCACCGAGAACGATTGAGCGGCGAGTCGAAATTTCACGATCTTCTTTCTTTCATTGCGCGAATTATTGTTTAACGCAAGATAATAAAAAAATGATTTTCTGATAGTCGCGATTTTATTCTCACGGCGACACTGACGTGCGAAACAGTAAAGATAAATGCTGTCGGGTTCGCTTACATCAAGAAAATACCTCTCGTAGCGGGCAGAAAGACTTCGCGATCGAAGGATGTTGCGGCGTCGTCACCTACCTCGAAACTGACGCTGAAGTACTCGTTGCTAGATGCCTATAATCAAAATGAGAAGAACTTCATTAATTTTATCTTTCTCGCTGCAAGAAATCTCTTGATGCTTGAAAAACGTAATTAAAAACGTTGAAATATTAAAAATTTCATATCGAGATCTCTTGGAAATTCTGTTAAACTGTTCGTCGCTTTAATCTGGCGGGATTTCGTGGAATAATACGGCTTGAAACTAATATAAAAAAATTCGCAAATAAATATTTTCTTATATATTTTATACATTCTTATATATTTTGTACAAATTTTATTTTTAATCATATACATATCGGAGTGTGTGCGCGTCGGAAAAGTTCGGATAGAATATTAATCACTTTACTCTCTCTCTCTCTCTCTCTTGGCACAAAAATTACGGCGTATCACTATAAATTAAACTTGATTATTTTTAGATACACCTTGTAGATGTCTGCGCTGCGAAGGCAGTCAGTAACTTTGCTGTTTCACGTTTGCATAATATCGATCCGGTTTTTGGTATAGTCGACGGCAGCACCCTCTCCGTCCGGGATTCGTAATTCATCGACCCTTTCCCAAAGTACAGATAAATACTTGCGAAAGTACGTGACAATAATACGGACTGTGTGCGCGCGTGCAAATGGTTAATAAAAATTCCTTCGTCGCAGTCTATAAAAAGCAAAGAATATAAACGTGTTTCATTTACGTTTCGCCCATTGTTCCTATCAATCTCTCCTTATAACGATTTCTCTTTATTTCACAGCCTACATTTGTTACGTCCAACTCAAATTCGCAGAAACAGCAGACGTTTCTCCTATTATCTCGGTCGTGAAAATAAATTAAATAAATTCTAATATTAACCCTAATCTTGCAAACGTTTTTTTTTTTTTTGCCTTTTTTTATGTATCCCGTAAACCCTGGACATTCGTGTCCAACGCACTGTTTTTATTGGTTAAAAAACGTTGCAAAAATTCTATGAAAATTCATGAAGATTTATTCGACATTCTATATTAAGAAAATAACATTAGTTTTGATATATTTTTGTATTTTTAGAAATTTTTTCACTAAGTAGTTAATAAGATTTTCAAGATTCGCTCGGACATTAATGTGTCCGGGAGAATTTACAGGATTAAGATTAACATATATATGACACAACATATATATGCAATCATCATGTACAATATATTTATTAAGAACAAACAAGAGCGATGTATGTATGAGTGTTGATTTTTAGTTAGAAAAACAAATTGCTCCTCTAAGGCGTATCAAATATTTTCTGTTTACTAGGATGTGCGCAGTTGCGGGGCTTAATTTATATTATATATTATATATAGTTTTTTTTTTTACTACAATTGCATTATGATTATCTCGATTCAAGATAGCGAAACTTTTTTTTTTGTTTTCTTGAGAGTCTTTCAGACACAAATTGGCTGTTATCTAATAAAAGCGCACGTGACAGAAATATAAGGATGTTCTTATCGAGGTTAAAAAAGATGTAGAGCACGGGAAGGCATAATTATATAAGCGGAATTTGACAAGTTCTTATCATATATTATTGCTGAACATGATATGAATAAAAACTAGAAACATATACATATTTTTATTTATTTTTGTTTTTGTAAAAAGAGCACAAGAGTTTTGCAAAACCGTATAGGATTATTACGCGACGAAAATATCGTGAAATAAAAATAGAACGCGATATTCAGTTGTCAAAACGCTTAATTAATATATTTTGTATTTATATTTGTTATATTTATTATATATATGTTTTGTATATTTAATAGATTTTATTGTGAAATTCGGCAACAAAATGTGTTTCGTGCTCGGCTTATATATGATTCTATATCTGATACATCTTGATTGATTACATGTTCGTTCTGTCGTAAAAAAAAATACGTACAAGAATCGCTATTCATGTTACTCTACGTCACGATAAAGCGACGTGCGAAAATAGTTGAAAATAATCCAAATCAACATCTACCTACGCTCGTGTTCACTTACATTTTAGCAAAAAATACGTATAGTTGTATGTGTATGTATGTGTGTGTACACAAAAGCCTCACGTATGACTTTTATCTTCTCGCTCTTATCAATCATATTTATACTGATCTCGCGTTTTTCAGGAATAATAAAGGTTTCAGTAACTTTACGTTGTCGTTATAGCAAACAATAAAGAATTTCATATTTTTTACGCGAATATAGAATGTATCAACTTTTTTTTTATGATAATTTTTTTTTTCAAAAACAAGAAAATCCTCCATCTAACGAGTTGGAAACAATTATCATTTTAACACTGTTCTTATAATGTGTTATTATATTTATAGAACTTTAAGTAATATTAAAAACCGATAAAAGCAATTAACAACTACATTTGCATGATCATCTGTGCGCGGTAATTCATTAAGATTACTTGACGAGATAATGCAGGCAAAAGTATGTTAACCGCCATGAAAGAAATGAAAAAGTGTTGATTAAGGCGATAAAAACAAACGTCGATCAGTAGTACAGATATATATTGTAAACGTTTTCTGCACTCTTTTCTTTTTTTTTTTTTTGTTTATCTTACGTCTCGCTCGCGNAAATTGTCGTCGACGTAAGAAAAAAAATTAGTCTCGCCGTCACTTTTCACGAAGGCGAAGAAATAATAGCGTCTATTATTTCCTCACGTACCGATATCTTTCCTCTTTTTATACGTATATTTTCTTTCCATTGTTATTGTTCTTATTCTTATTATTATTATTATTAAGATCTAAGTGGCTTATCAAATACTCGTTATTTATTTATGATAATTCGTATTATTTTGACAGGCATCTCATAGATTTCTGAACACGGTGCATAATGAAATGGATCATTGACGGATCATTGCAATTGATTGCAATTTCATGTTACACATTCGATCTGCTTCGAGCGTGCAGTGAATAACATCGAATGTCCATTTGGAATATAGCGGAGATTACACCTTGAAATAAGTTTTGAAACATTTTATATAGAAATCGCGTCTCTCACATCGAAGTACATACATTTCAATATCGCGAAAAGTCGGATTTTGTTTTTTTTGTTTTTTTTGTTTTTTTCGGTTTTATTCGACACACCATTTGCTCACTGTCAATAACAAATAGTAAACTTTTTAAATCCCATTTAACACACACGCGTGTTTCACTGCAATAACAATTTTAATCAATTCACGTACATACAGTCGCCGCGGTGGCGAAGTTCGTAACGCGATTATTATTTATATCTACTCGAAATATGTTTGTATCGTTTCAATGAAAAACAAAATATGAAAATATCTATTCGGTAGATCGCGACACATTTTACGATCGAACACACTTCTCAATCGGTTTCGCGCTCGTTTTTAGACATATCGGAGAAGAGAGATACATACACATCTCTCTCTCTCTCTCTCTCTCTCTCTCTCTAATCTCTCGCGGAAGAAACGAAAGAACACACGTATATTTTTATTTTCCCTCGAATGTTGCGCTAACTCAGCAAACGAGAGAGGATGTAAAGAAAGAGAGCTCTCCGTTTTGAATTTCTCAAATAAAGAAGAAATTTTCTCTCTTACTTACGTTACATTGGATTTTTCGTGAACACGCGATTGCTTGCAACTCGTTCCCGTTCACCGAATGCAATATTCATCTGTCGTTTCTCTAGAACAGTCAGATGTGCCGCGCCGAATATATACACGTTTCGTGTCGCGCCACAAGATATGATTTGATCTTGCGTGTACGTACACGTGTTTTGCGTGACAATATTTTTTTTTTCTTTTCTCAAATAGTGTGTTTTTAAGTTCTTTAATGAAACATATTTATATTTGAAAATCTCGAAAGATAATCGTCTTCACGATAAAAGCTTTTAAGCTCGACCAACAATTATGCTCGCGCAGGAACTCGCGCGCGACAGTTAAGACGATTAACACGTTTGTTTTCTCCGTTATTAACACCAAGGGACAACTTTATAAAACACATATTGTTGTTATAATATATTATATTACCTGAGATCGAGAAAGTTTGCGTTTAGCGCCGTTGGAACTCTCGACAGGCGTCACATGACCGGGCGCAAGAAATCGAATCCGATTGCTCTCCACGCTATGGGGATAATGCTGTAGCTGCGGTCGTTGCTGATGATGGTGCAGGTGATGGGCTTGCTGTTGAGAGGACTTGCCCTCCGCATAATGCTCACCTCTGTTTAACATGCTATTGCTCAGAGCGTCTAATTGGGTCAACGACCTCGAACGCACCTGCAATAACAAAAAGGCGTTGTGTGAGAAAACAAAAAGGATAACAATTTCTTCCCTCCAAAAAAAGAAAAAAAAAAGAGAAGATAGTGAAGGGGAATCGAGAAAACCGGAATAAAAATTGACAAAATGATCAACTCACGGTTAGAACACGGAAATGAAAAATTCTGACCTTCACGAATTCTCGGTCCCCGGACGTTTTCTCCGACATTGCGGAAAACCACACTTTTGCGGGCGCAAAATGAAGGTCGCAATTAAAGAGAAAATGACGGCGACCCGGACTAATTGGATCGGCTAAGGGATGAGATTTCGCGCTCGTAAATTCGGTTATAAAAGATGCCCGCAACCTCACAAGTTAAATCGACGAGCTGCATCAACTCGACGCGACTCGTCGATAATTCTCCATTACATGCACGAACAGAGTTTGTGGCTTTTCGCAATACGCCGATCCGGTCTGGGCTTGTCGTCAGAATTCAACCGAGCAATTATGCCCCCCCCCCCGTCGCAATTATATAATCAGAAGAATAACGTATTATCAATACTTCTTACAAAACAAAAAAACTTTGCATTTTTCACAATGTTCGATCGTTTCAAATTGCTGTCAATAGAGTCAACGCGCTCAAAACTTCGTTGATTGAAGCTTGAAAAATTAAAAATCCGCTAATTACACGAGTCAATGAAAATTCTTTTCAACGGCGCGCTCCCGCCCGTTCATTTCCCGCGATAGTCCAAAGTTTCGTCACTTGTTTTCGTCTCCTAAAACTTTACGGATGAAAAGTTCTTCATCTTCAATCACCTCTAATATAATTTCCTCCAGAAACAATGTTCCCTTCCAAGTACTGTAAAATTTCCCTATAACTCGGGCGCGTATTTTCATCTACGGAAATCACAACACACACACATTGCTCGTAGTGACGTGATTGGGGACGAAAAGATGGCGAGAAGAGAACGCTAAGCTTTTCCGAACGAAACTTTCTCGTAGTTGTCATCCTTTCGCTTTTAATTGCCCAGTCGTTCGTCGCGACGACGATCGCGCAGAACAAACTTTGTTCTGCTCCCTCCGACACCCGCCCGACCCGCTGAAATTGACTATTAACAGCAGTTCGCCATTTACTGTCCTCATCCCGCACACATTGTGATCCCCCTTTCGATCCCTTTCTCTCATTTTGACGCTGCCTTTTCGTGTAATTTCCTTGTTGCCTCCATTTTCGCCCGGAGCTTCGCTCTGCTGTGTACACTCTTCTTCCTTTGCTTTATATTTGGCGCATGACATAAAATCGTTAATATTAATTGTTATACGTTATCCCAGCTGCGGATTAAATTACGCTCTTCTTCGAATGGAATATTTTGTGTTCTTTGAAGAGGGAGAAAAAAAAAGCCGCTCCCGGCGGTTTGTTTATTTATTTTTTCACCATTCGCAATCTGCGCGTTTTCACGTATATCGCATTAAATTCTCACACACGTTGCTAAAATGGATTATGTTATTTATATAAAAATATATACGTACAACACATTATTGTTCGGTAATAATAGAGCGAGAGAGTAAACCATTTAAGCGTCAGCTATAGATCGTTCAAAGTTCATATCGTCCTAGGTTGTATAAACATCCAATGCTTCGGCAGATCGTAATAGGCAGCCGAGCCTCTATTCATATGCTAAATTTTCGTGTCCCAGTACGTAGTATATATAGCCAAGAGCTATTGAAATATTTGCTACGTAAAAGCATTTAATAACTTTCAAAATATAATGTTAACATTTACATAATGCAATTGCGCGGACGCGCGTTATTAGATAGACAGGCAGGTAGTACTAGGTAGGGGTTTTTCGTTGCGCGAAACACACATAATTAAATGGCGATCTCTGCTATTTTGCTTGACTTTACAATCCGTTTTACACGCCAAGTATTTCCCGCGTGCGATGTGTGTGCACGAGGAGTTCCGATATCACAAAAAAAGATACGCGATACATGTAACTCGCTTTGCGGTGGAAATATTATGTAGTTTTTTTTTTTTTTTCGAGTTTCAAAAAACTGCGAAACCAGCCGTGTGTGACATTCTGTCTCCGTGACGGCTTTTTTGATCATCGATATATATATATATGCGTGATAAAACATTTTATTATCTCACGTTGAACACAGAGAGAGAGAGATACTAAAAACTCTTCCGATCGAGAGACCTTGGCTTGACAGTGCAATTTTTGATTCGTGTTGGATATGCTCGTAGTATTCTCATATGTCGCGTGTAACATTGATTCTCGTTTGAGCATCCGTTTTCATATAGCAGTAGATGAGAACGTTATAAGCTGTTGGCGCTCGGTATAACAATATCGAGCTTCATCCCGCCGCGCACGGAAAGCTTTATAACAAACGAAAATACAATTTCAAGGTTCTCGTGTCCCCCGCAGCTGCATCGACTTTCACAAATTGGGCACGCTGCAAAATGATCCGATTATGGTAACTGTTTTGCGACGAAAAGGTATCCGACTTGGGAAGATTGAGATCTATTCTTTTTTTTTTTTTCTTACAACGTTCGTCGTATTTTTTCCTTCGCTCATCAATTGCGAAATGAAGACGAAGAGAACGAGATTAAAAAAAAAAAAGAGAGAGAGAGAAAAAAAAACAAATTTATTCAAGGGGAGCTTTTTCTTCCTGTTAATTAAAGCAACATAGCGAGTTTAATTAGTCAGCATTAAAACGTCTTGGTAAACACATAGTTCAGAAAATTGAGAGAAAGCGCAAACTTACTCGGCAACTAATTTCAATTAATAATTAATCAGAGACGAAAGAACTTTTGCCACGCGAGTCATTTTACATTTTTTATCCGTTTAAGTATATCGATAGGATGCGTTATTTACTTCTTTGTACTTGTTTTCCGCTATCTTGGAATATATTTCAGGAAATTTCTCTCTCTCTCTCTCTCTCTCTCTCTCTCTTTATCTGTCCTAGAGTATTACAAGTATTTACGTGTTATCGAAGTTGCAGCGCGAAGCACAGCAGTAAAGCAAACTATTGCATAAGTGGGGAGCAATTGTGAGAAAGGGGGTCTTAAGACAAGAAGCTTAGGGCTATATTTCGACAACTGTGAGTCTTACGCTGTGAGTACAAAATACGTTCGCCGTTAGACGGGCAGGTACGCTGCAGTTGCGAAAACTCGTTAACTCCATTACACGAGCAGACGAGGAGGCGGAGAAACGTGTATTTAATCTCATAATCGGCGAGTTAATATATCAAAGCGCAAACTGGCGCTTCACCAAATTAAACCGCATTTTGTGACATAATCATGACGAAGTATCCCACAGACGATTATGACATTGAGAATTGTCGTCGCAGGAAAGAGTGGGGCTCGCGAACATGTATATTTAATTTGTCTTTACAAAGTGTCTCGTTCGGATTTACGTTAAAAACTGACTGACGTAGTTTTGCGTCAAAAAAAAAAAAAAAAAAAAAAATGCGGCAATTGTCGAGGCCTCGTGATTAAAACGAGTCAGTTCGTCGTCGAATGTGTATAATCATCCGCCGCCGGTCGGCATCGCACCATCAATTCCCGGGGCTAAAAAACCTTTCCGATCCACGCCTCTTATTTACACTCGCCCATATTTCGCTACCCATCAATCTCTCTCGCAAAAACGCTTTCATTGTCGAATATAAGACAGTCACTTGATGCTGATATATATTCACCTTTCTCCCCGAACTCTGAGCCGAGAACTTCCTTTTTAGTTTCACATTACACAACTTGACAATGAATCAACGAGAATTTTTATTGTCGTTGTTCATAACTGTCAGGGCGCGTGCGCGCAAACACACACACACACACACACACAATACACACGAGCTACATGTTTAATTAAAATACAACGGAGTTGTATCGAAGATAACGAGTGTCTTTTATTTATTTCGATCATTTGTTTTCGATTATGTTTTTTACTTAATTTCGCATTCGCTAGAGTAAACATAGTTCGTGCAATAACTCGCGAATTATTTCTAGTTTTGAAATAACACGCTGTTAATTATTTATTACAACGGCGTGAATATATTATATATTCTTGCGAAACAGTTTTTTTCACAATTCAGACGAAGATAAAATTAGAGATAAAATTCTGGTAAAATACGTTCTAAAAAAAAATGCGCGATGAAGAGAAAGAGAGAGAGAGAGAGAGAGAGAGAGAGAGAGAGAGAGAGAGAGAGAGAAAAAAAGATTATTTTGTTTCAGAAAGATCCATTATGCGTGACAGCACGCATAAGGTAAACTCGACCGCATTAAGCCACGCGTACGTATATCTTGTTACATTAAATACAGCAATATCACGTGACGAGATCTACGAAATTTCATTTGGAACGCTATCAAATCGTTTTCGCGAACAATCAAATTGATTTGAAAGTGTGGAGAAGTTACCATGCGAAATTGGAATTGCACACAACTATTTTGCGTGTGTGCGCGTAGAGATACGCAGTTCGTACAATAAAAAAACGTCCCTATTATATAAAAAGTTATTTAATTTACATTAATTTGAAAAGAAAGAAAAATATAAACAATAATAATAACACAGTGGTAAGTAATAATATTAATTACTCTCTATGGAAATTTGTTTATATAGATAATCGAACAAAAATTCACATATACATATCTCGAGAACGGATCGACTGCCTCTAAGTCTGTTTGAATATAACTTGAAGGGTTTCGAAGGCTTCGGAGCAATTTAATTTTCATAATCTTGAAATTCGGACCCTACATTTATAGTGATCGATGGTACGATCGCATCTACACACAAATATCGATTTCGGACTATATATATACACATATACGTGTATAGACGCGCGGCATTAGCCAAGGCAGGGGTAAGAGGGGTATGATTTTAGTCTCAAGAAGGATAGGAAAGTAGAGGAATCGGCCCGGTTCGGTCGGGCTCGGTAACATTCGGCCTCTTCATACCTATATTTGTGAACTTTGTCTGTGTGAATATAACGTCGTTCCGCAAATTCAGGGTTGCTCGGCGCGTTGAGTTTA